GATAGTTTATGAACCTGCTTAAAACTTCTGAAAACACGATTGAATTAAAACATTGATATTGATGTATTTACTCATATAATTTTTGTTTTTTGTTTTATCTTTGTTCCACTTTAATATTTCTGTTTTACAAAATCTCAAAAAATAAAGGATCAATGTGACCGTGTCAATGTATCTTTTCCTGTCGCACGACAATAGGATGCAAGTCTTCCTCAATGCAATTAAATGTAACAATTAGTAAATGTCTTGTGAATGAGCTTTATTGACACACCATTTGCATTTTTTTGTTCAATTAAGCAGAAGTTTTTTTTTGCCTTCCGTTGATGTAGTTTAACACCATCCGGTTATAAAAAACAATACTGTAACAGTTTCTTTCGGAGGAAAGGAGAATTAGTATTAACATTGTTGGCATCAATGTAGTTGAAACAAAAGCTTCAATTCAACGTACTGTAAATATAATTATGTTAAAACAATCAAAAATAAAGACAAATAATCTAAGTTTATAACAAATTAACACTTAGATAAATGAAGACATTTTTTTAGTCTGACAGCTCGTGGTTCTACGTTTGAGATCTTAATTTGTATAAACATATATAGTAAGTAAATTATGTCTTATTTCAAATATTTGAAAGTTTTATTTGTTTTTTCTTGGTTGAATTAAAGCTATGTAGCTTTGATAGTCTGCATGTATGCCTTTTCAAAGATTTATATTTATAGCTATATAGAATATTTATAATATTTCGAAAAAAGACATCCTGAAAAACAAAATGCCATGAATCAATTAAATAAAACATCTCTCAAAATTGGAAACGAGTAAAGTTTTCTCCCCGAGGGTTTATTTAATTGTTGTATCAATTACTATAAACTCCTTTACAGGATTTTTGTCTAGTTTTTGGTAATGCTGTTCACTGCGAAAAAGACATGGATATACGGAAGTGTACGGAATTCCGTATATCATTAATATACGTGTAAGAATACGGGAAACTTGAAATACGGAGATGTACGGGAACGTATATTATATCAGTCCGTATATGACTAGTATACGAACTCCGTACACTCGTAATATACGGGAATTTTGATATACGAAGTCCGTATTTTACTAATATACGGACTTTTTATGACAAGTCCGTATATTACTAAAATACGAAATTCCGTATTCGTGCAAATACGGATTCTGTATATAGAAATAGCGAATGATACTGTCAGTGCTCAGAACGTGTAAGACATCCACCTGTAGCATGCAGACGCGGTATTCTAGCTCAATACCGCTGTGTAATAGCGAATACTTTACAATTGCGATTGACGATTAGATAGTACGTTTTTGTATTTTGCATCTATGGTGAATCATGTTATTTTGTAATTTCTTTTTCATTATCATTATTTTTTATAATGATGAGCCAAACAAATGAAAGTGATAAATTTGAAATTGTGATTTTCAAAACATGAATTAATTATATTAAAATCGTGAATCTGTGAAGCTGAAATCGTGAAAGTTAAAATAATTGTGAAATCACGAAGATAAATTCGGGATTGTCCACACAGCATTTAAATTTTACATTAATATATCTCCTACAAAAAATAGGCTATACATAATATAATACATGTACTTGCATATGTAAATAAAAATCAACAATTATATCTCATTCATTCATTCATTCATTCATTCATTCATTCATTCATTCATCCATCCATCCATCCATCCATCATTCATTCATTCATTCACTGAATCATTCATTCATTCATTCATTCATTTATTTATTTATTTATTTATTTATTTATCTATTTATTCATTCATTCATCATTCATTCATCCATTCATCATTCATTCATGCATTCATCCATCCATCATTCATTCATTCATTCACTGAATCAATCAACCAATCATTTATTCATACATTCATTCATCACTCATTTATTCTTATATTTATTTATTTATTTATATATTTATTTATTTATGTATTTATTTATTTATTTAATAAAATAGGCTATACATAATATAATACTTGTACTTGCATAGGTAAATAAAAATCAACAATGATATCTCATTCATTCATTCATTCATTCATATTCATTCATTCATCCATCCATCCATCATTCATTTATTCACTGAATCAATGAACCAATCATTCATTCATTTATTTATTTATTCATTCATTCATCCATTCATCATTCATTCATTCATTCATCCATCCATCATTCATTCATTCATTCACTGAATCAATCAACCAATCATTTATTCATACATTCATTCATCACTCATTTATTTTTATATTTATTTATTTATTTAGCTATTTATTTATTTATTTAATAAAATAGGCTATACATAATATAATACTTGTACTTGCATATGTAAATAAAAATCAACAATGATATCTCATTCATTTATTCATTCATTCATTCATTCATTCATTCATTCATATTCATTCATTCATCATTCATTCATTCATCTATCATTCATTCATTCACTGAATCAATCAACCAATCATTCATTCATTCATTAATTAATTCATTCATCATTCATCCATCCATCCATCCATCATTCATTCATTCATTCATTCATTCACTCACTCACTGAATCAATCAACCAATCATTTATTCATTTATTCATACATTCATTCATCACTCATATATTCTTATATTTATTTATTTATTTATTTAATCTTTTATTTCAGGAAACATAAAGATTTGCGTTTTTGCATAGAAATCTTATGAAGTTCCGAATTCCCCAATTTTGATTCTTTCCGCGCGGTCTCATTTATGACATAATATTGTGTAATAGCCACGTGCTGTATTGCGATAATCGAAGCCAATACTGATTAAGCCGGATATTGATCCGGATATTGATCATAAACGCAGCAGGGTATAACGAGTGTCGGTTTTCTCTGATTACGTAAGTTAGCGCAATTGGTGTTGAATGTCTTAACGGTAATTTTTACTGTTTATTTCTAATATAATTCATGTACGAAATAAAGGAATTAAATTGCGATCTCATAATCGAGTCTCTATGTGATTTTGTTGATCCAGATATTATAAAGACTCGAACCTGACATGTTAAAATGAAACAGACATAGCTGCTGTATTTCGTCATTTATACAAGACACAATTAAGATTTATCTTAAAATAAATTTTGAAGTACCCTGCTGCCAGGTCCAATTATATTTAAGTTAACAAGCTAGAATCAGATGGATGTCACTGGGGTGTATGTACATGTATTGTTGATAGATGATGTCAAATTATTCGAAATAGCATTTCTTGAAAAATATCATCATCATCTCCCGTAAGTGATCTCATAAGTGATTATATGAGCCGTGTCATGACAAAACCAACATAATGGGTTTGCGACTAGCATGGATCCTGATCAGACTGCGCGGAGGCCAGACCAGCCTGCGCCAATGCGCAGTCTGATCAGGATCCATGCTGTTCGCTGTCAGTTTCTCTACTTGTAATAGGATTGGTAATGGATGCGCAGGCTGGTCTGGACCCATGCTGGTCGCAAACCCATTATGTTGGTTTTTGTCATGACGCGGCTCATTATAAACAAACCCATTTGTAAAAATCGTAGATATAACGTAATAGAAGTATTGTATATAATCATCGTGTAATAAATAGTTCATAAGATATGTGATTTATTCTATAACTGTATCTATAAATGCTTTGTCGTATTTTATAGAGTGAGAGAAATGTGCAGTCTGACCGAAACTTGAACCGGGGATTCCGATTGAGCTATTCGGCCGCTTACAAATCTTTTCCTGAACAGTGGCATAATCCCCTGCTTTATTAAAATTCACAGATTTACAAGCAATATGCGATCTAAAACTCTTAAGCTATATGCAGCCATTTTCTCCTCTAAATAGTGAACAGTTCTGAACCGTGACACATATGTCAATATTGTTCATGTACTAAAGTCAATAATAATTACAATTTTCAATGAGTATTACATGTAATGTATATATGTATATATCAATTATGATAACAGATGCAGAATTACATGTGAATATGTATATATTATTTTGTAAGTTTTAAGATAATAAATGATACAAGTGAATATGTGAATGCTATTTTGTAAGTGTTAAGATTGTTATTAGATACTATACGTTAACATTCTTTGACAGTGTGTAAATCATATCAGTCAAAATTGTGATACTGAAGAGATTTTTGTTTTTAAGAGAAATAACGTTGAATGTAATGTACCTGGTAAGAGACTTGTAAGTTATATATTAATTTTAATATTATATGTGTAACTACGTGAAAAATTTGGCAGGTAGTTTCTTTATCAATCAAATCGATCATCTCCAACAATTTGATGTATGTTGATATAAAGTATATATGTTGAAGTCATACACTGTTGGTTATTTTGTATGTTTTGTGTCCTCATTGGCTTTAAAGCCTATTTGAATGAAATAACGTGTCTGCTGCATAATAGAAACTGGGACATAAAATGAATTAAGTCCCAAACAGAACAGTTATTCCATTAGAGCAAATAATGAATAAAAAGTTATTTTTAATATAAGTACTGAGCTTTCAATACACATACATTTACTTAATTACAGTTGTCAAACTAAAATATATGATAATTTTTACTATTAATTATCAATCCTTTATTAAAGCAATTTAATATTTTAGAATTTTGGCAATTCAACTCAAAAAGAAAAAAAATATAAAAAATATAAAATTCTCTTGATAAGTTATTCCTTATTATTATTAAAACACACATACATTTATTTAATTATAGTTTTCTAACTAAAATATATGATAAATTTTACTATTATTATTATCATTATTATTATTATTATTATTATTATTATTATTATTATAAAAAAAATAACTGATTAAGCATTAGAATTAAAAGTTTTGCCTATGAAAAAGTATCAATGCTTATGTTATACATGTATGCAAATTTTCCTATTTAATATTGCATTATTTTGACTTACTATGGTTTCTTCCTCATTATCACGGACCTTATATCCGTGGCATTATTAATGCTAAATGCTTTATTGTACAAACGGTATCTAGGCATATCACGCGTTTTCAAAGCAGCCAATGAGTTTAAAGCGTTGGTTTTGTATCACGTGAATCCTATCAACCAATCAGAAATAGCGCGGGCGAAATGAAAAAAGAAAAAACGCGATTGGAAATGGATGGTTAATAAAATTCAGAATATTGCAAAACAAGGTAGGTTTTAAAAGTTATTTTTTATCGTTGTAATATCAATATGCGATCAATAGAATAGTTGCATTTTGTGAACAACAGCTTATTTCAGGGTTAAACTGATTTGTTTTTAGAAAACTTTAACACTTTTTAATCTGTTTCGCTATTCAATATGGCCGCCGGATTAGATAATTAAAGCAGGATAATATCCCCAAATTTAGACTCTGAGGTTACGAGTTTGATTTTGATTTCTAAACTGTACCTTTTTTAATAAATAATTTGTTTGAAAAATGCAAAAACAAAAAAAGAAAAGGTTATTTCTAAAATACGTTAATCATAACTTCCCTTAAGGGTAAAAAAGACACCACGTTAAAAATTACGACATTTAAACATCGAAGATGTCAAGGTATTACAGCCCCTGGACATGGTAGTACAAAAGGATTAATCAGTGTGTGTGACACGACCTATGTATGCTTGATTGGTCAACTGATTGGACTTTATAATAATCTTGAGCGATCTCAATTATCACTTATAATCAGGGGTGCGAGTCAATGCGCAATCAAGCAAATTGAAAAGACACACGTTTTAATAGTACTTTATGAAATAGATAGCCGAAAAATAGGTTATTTTTTTATCTATTCAATATAATAACAAAAATTATGAGATTTAACAGATTAACATATTTTAAAAGAAAATTGCTTAGTACTTTTAAAAAATATGTTTATAAATTTATAGATAAAATCGTCTTTCTCAGTCTTGAGAATTCAACGAGCAGAAAACTTGTTTTATATTCACAGTTTTTATTTTTATATATATATATTTCTTATTTATATTAACTATATATAAATTAATACAAATCTGAAACAAAAATAGCAAATAAATATTTCTTTTTTCATTTATATCATCATACCTTTAGATGAATAAAAAAAGAAAATATTTGTCAGAATTTTTTATTTACATTAATACAAAGAATGACAGATAAATACCCTTGATGTCAAAAGATATGCTTATATTTACATTGATACGAAGCAACAGTGTCGGTGTAAGAATTTTAAAACTCGTGCATATAAAATATAGCAACGAACCAGAAGTGTTAAAACGGTTTTGTTTGTATTGTTTTAGCATAATTAGTAATTAGCAAGATCGAGTTTACTCGCAATTCAGGACAGACAACTCTTTTTTCATTCGACATTCTTGGTTATTTATCTACGTTGTTCAGGATAGCACAGATTTTAAATTGTATATACATGAACTGAGTTTTCAACATTTATATTGGATTTTTTATTGGACAAATAATTAAAATTTAAATATTTTTTTCTTATTATAATTAAAACATTTTCTTTAGTTTTTAAGATAAGGTGATATCGCATGGGTCAGTCACAAACACGCGCCTGTTTGAGGAAACAGTTATTTAATATTTCGTTATACATAAATTAACTGTATAGAGCCTTTGTACATCACAATTTTTTTCGACATTCCATATTTTGACTTATATTTCACAGAACAGAACAGAACAGAAATTTTATTTGAATCTAACTTGAACATTTACAGTTCATCGTTGCATACAACAAATTTTACATGCACATAGTAATAATGTAAATATCATGTTATAAACATGCAAACAACTTTACATATTTCATCAGATCATAACAAAGAATTTAATTCATTTGTTCTTAATTTAAAAGCATTTCTGCAAAACAGAGCCAATTTGTTTAAGACCTTTACATTTGTAGAATTCAACAATTGTGTGAGTTTGAGCATACTCGGGTGTCTATGATAATACCTAGGAATATACTGATTTCTAAGTAAAGCATACATTGGACATATTAAAATAAAATGGTATTCGTCTTCAATATCATTACATTGGCACAGTGTACATTTTCTATCGTTTCTATCTATATTTCTATGTCTACCAGTTTCAATATGTAGGTCATGTGAAGATAAACGTATTTTAGCTAAAATATTTCTTAAACTACGACATTTCATTTTATTTATATATTCGGACCTTTCAAAATCTGGCTTTAATTCTTTAAATAAAAACAAAGATGACTTTGAACAAATATCTTGTCTCCAATTATTTATATACATGTCAATAATTCTAGTACGAAAAATAGGAACAAACATATTAATATTACCGAAGAAGGATACATCCATACTTCGTGAAAACCAGTGTTTTGTAGTAAATCTCGGACTTTAGATGCCCAGTTTCACAAAGTTACAATTTTCAGCTTCATATCTTAAAGTGTTCATTGTGCTTGATAAAATACAGTTATAATCCTTTTCAACATACAACTTTAGGAAATATTTAACAATTCTAACTTGTCTAACTACATATAATGGATATCTACCCAATTCACCATATAATGCAGAATTAGCAGTAGACTTTTTTTAACATTGGAGTATCCATTTCAATGAATTTTCTATGTATTCGTTCAATATTTTCCGCTTTTTCAAACCCCCATACTTCACAACTAAGAATAATTCAATATAGATGCAACATATGAATCGAATAAATTTAACATAATATTTACAGGAACTTCAATGCATTTTGTAATACTAAATAATGAGCCCATAGCTTTAAGAGCTTTATCAGCTAATGTTTTTGTTGCTGTCTTAAAAGATCCACCACTAGATAACACAATACCTAAGTAATTAAAACTTGAAACAAATTCCAATTCTTCCCCGTCGTAATAAAATATGTTCATTTACATTGGCCATTCCACCTTTTTTAAATACAAGAACCTTCGTTTTATTAACATTTACTTTTAATTGCCATTTATTACAATAGTCTTTTAAATTATGTAATGAAGTTTGAAGCCCATGCGCCGTCTCTGAGAAAATGACTGCATCGTCGGCAAAAAGTAGTAGGTATATAGAAAGTTGCTCTAATGTCAAACAAAGAACTATCATCTTTTTGTAAAAACAACTCAATATCATTTACGAATAATGAGAAAAGTATCGGAGAAAATTATCGCCCCTTGCAATAATCCAACATCACATTTGAAAAAAATCAGACAAGGAATCCATATGACTTACACATAATTTAACATCTTCATACAGAGACCTGATTACACAAAATAAGCGTCCATTTACACCATATTTTATCAATTTTACCCATAAGGCATTTCTGTAAATAGAATCAAAGCATTTCATAAGATCAACAAAACAGCAATATAATTTCTTTTTTTGTTTTAATTGTCGTTCTATAAAAGCATGAAGGAGAAATATAGCGTCTACTGTGCTATAGTTACATTTAAAACCAAATTGTGCATCAGTGAGTATATCATTAATATCAGCCCACTTTTTTAAACGCTCATTAATAACAACAGTAAATAATTTTTGCAAAACAGCTGATTAATGTTATACCTCTATAATTAGTAGGTTCACTAGAATCACCTTTTTTTAAAAACAGGTATATAACAACTCCCTGTGACCATGATTCGGGAAAACAACCCGTATCTAAAATATAATTGAACAATATTTCTAAAGGTTTGTCTAAAATATCTATACCTTCTTTAAAATACTCGTACATAATGTGGTCAAAGGAGCTAGCTTTATTTGTTCCTAGTTTTTTGATAGCTTTTCTTATTTCATCAGTCGTAAAAGGTACATCAAGCTCCTCAAAAGTAGAGTTAAAATTTGCATTTTCATCAAAAATATGTAAAAAATTTTCAATTTCGTCATCTTCCGCAACAGAAAATTCAGATGCTAAGTTCTTAAAATGATTATAAAAATCATCCAAATCTATGTTTTCATCAGACACGGTTGATTTACTTTGACGAAACATCCTCCAAAATTCTTTTGGCTTTTTGTTTCTCAATTCATTCATTTTTGCAGCTTGTTTTCTGTCAAAGTTCCGTTTTACTTTACACATAAAGCGATATGGTAACACACGCACGCACGCACGAACACACAAACATACATAACTACACATGCGCATAAAAGTGAACACGTTCCTACAGTATTAACACTTTCGCACATGTGATCACTTATGAAATATTTTCAATGTGCTCTTTATCAGTTTATGATGAAGTTATATTATGATTTTTTCAGGACAGTGTATACAGCGTGTTTAAATCTTCCAGAAATGCAGCTGTGCCCTCTTAACAGCAGTTATAGATGAAGCAAAGTATGGTAGCAAGTAATATAGATGTAAGTTCACGTATATACATTGTTGTATTTTGTGAATAAAATAAGACAATTACACGGACGTACTGTCTGTAAAGAAGAGTTACACAGCCTCATATATTCCGATCTGTACTGATATCATGTGTTTTAATCTTTCTCAAGGAAAAGTCAAATTTCCTTTGATTACACGCATGTATTTTGACATGAATAAATGTGGTTAGTTATAAATACATTGGTTCTCTTTTATATCTTGTTGGCGGAATGATGTCATAAAATGATGTCAATTAAGGCATATAAGCATTTTGCAGCGCATTTGAAAATGCTAAAACATCATTGCTTTTAATATGCAAAAGTCAAATATATAAAATATATACAACTCCAACACACACAATTGTTTGATATAGATGCACTGTGCATGCGACTTTATTTTATTAAATTAGTTTTCTTTTCTTAAACATATTACTGTATCAAAAAAATATGTATTTCTTCACAGTTTAATCACTTTTATATATGTTAATGATAGTATTTTTTTAGTTATTACGTGCGTAAGCGATAAGTACGCCGCTTTGATAATGTGAGAGTGACTTTACATTTTCTTTTGTGCATAACAACCTTTGTCTGAATAAGTAAAACAGGGTTTTCAAAAGCGAATATAATGTAAGATAAGAAACAGAATTTGAAATGTCTTGATGGCAAAGTTAGTAAAGTCATTGATTCGAATGTCATACACATTAAATTTTATCACAAGTTCGAGCCTCACAAGTTGTCTCACTTTTTTGCGTTTTTCTTACCATATATTTTTTTTTAAATTTTACATTAGGGAAATGAATTGGAATAGCAAGCTGAGTAGCAAATATCTGTACATTTTAAACCATTTTTTTCAAACGAATTGACTCCTATTAACGATACTAATATAAACGTAAAACGATCATAAGATTATGTCAGCACTTTTTCCTAATTTTTCCTTTTATAAGTGTGAAATAATATATTCGTAAAAGTTTTATAACAAAAACATATAACTTATCATCCGTCAAAGATTAATCATTTCATTTAAATCCCGTGTAAATGGTTGTTTATAAATGACATCTTTATCCTAATGATATAAGATAATTTTGAAATTTGCGTTAGAAAAAAAAATTGTATATATGTATACGCTTAAAAAATGCTTGTGTAAAGACTTTTTGAAAGTTGTGATAACTATTTCATGACACTATTTAAACAGGATTTTAAACTATCTTTTTTCAGATACACACATGCCGAAGAAGAAGATTGTAATATCTGGAGAAAACATTTCTTACGTCACGAAATAGACACCGTCACACTGGCCTATAGATGATTGATATATTTAAGTGCTTTTAAGAACAGTGTTTGGATGACGAATTTCTGTAAATACGGATTTTTAATTTTAATGCTTATTATTAAAACTTTCTGTAATTATCAATT